GTCACCATACATCCCCGTCAGATTAAAAACCTAATTTGAAAAGATTAATGTATTCCATTCTTGTTACGCTGGCTCTGATACCTCTGGGCCCGCGGCCGCGCTGCCTCCTGATTATTGAATTTTTATGGCCTGGTAATTAATTGCAGATTCCCTGTTTTGTTCTATTTCTTTTTCCCTGACATTTTAATTTCAACACAAAGCAGTGGTCTCCATGCAGGTTCTCTCTGGAGATCCTAATGGTCTATAAAACAGAATGACTTATAGACGTGGCACCCACTTCAGTTGGCGAGCGATTGTTTGAAACCTTGCTGATCATGCAAAATTTAATTTTTCCACCTCCCTCCCCCATGTACTCCTCATTTCTTGTCTCTTCCATTGCAGCGCCAGCAACTCAGCTCACAACGAGGGCAGCACAGTGTCGCCTCCAAATCTGTTACAGGGCCGTTTCCTAAAGGCCAGGGGCCCTAAGACAAAGTGGGTTTTGATTTTTTACCTGAGAGGTGACCCCCAGAGGTGGGGAGCTGGGCCTCCCCCCAGGGCCATGTGGACGTGGGCAGCTGCCCCTGGGAGGAGGGGACCATTTCCACTTTTCTCAGCTGTTCCTTTGCCCAAGCGCAGCTGCTCCATGAGGCATCATGGCGCCCACAGGCTCATGAAGGCAGAGGAAATGGGGTGCTTCCCTTAGGTTCATAGCAGGAAGTCAGGGGTATGACCTGGTCAGTTCTTAGTCAAACCAGATCACTGGGAACAGCTGTCTACACAAAGGGGTCTGGAAGAGGCACCTGAATTTCTATCCTAATGCCCCCAACTTTTCTCCCAGCCCTGCTAGCATCACAGAGGCTAGGCCTGGTCCCGGAAGGTCCCCCCAGGACTGGGAGGGGCAGGGGCAGCAGAGAAAGGTCATAGATCAAATTGGCCTATGGGATTGGAGCTCATGTCTTCAGGGATGAGGCAGGTAGGAGCGGGGAGGGCGATAGGGAGCAGTGGGGACTGTGGTGCTCCAGAGCTCAGCCCATCAGAAGGCATGGCAGCCACTTGACTGCAGCCCATGCCGCCACGTGGAAAGATGGGTGCAGGGTGGCCAGAATGTACGATTTCTCAGGGAAGGTTGGAAATCTGGCTTTTAATGAGAAATTTTTTAAGCACTGTATCAGTCGAATTGAATACATCTTTTTTAAAAAATATTTTATTGGTTTTCTACAGAGAGGAAGGGAGAGGGATAGAGAGCCAGAAACATCGATCAGCTGCCTCCTGCACACTCCCCACTGGGGATGTGCCTGCAGTCAAGGCACATGCCCTCCACCGGAATCGAACCTGGGACCTTTGATTCCGCAGGCTGACGCTCTATCCACTGAGCCAAACCGGTTAGGGCATTGAATACATCTTTTTAAAAAATATATATTTTTATTGAAGGGGGAGAGAGAGAAACATCAATGTTGAGAGAGAATTATTGATTTGCTGCCTCCTGCACGCCCCCCACTGGGGATCAAGCCCACAACCCGTGCCTATGCCCTGGCTGGGAATCAAACCGTGACCTCCTGGTTCATAGGTCGATGCTCAGCCACGCTGGCTGGGCTGAATACATCTTTGATCCGACTCCTGGAACAATTGTTCCCTCTGATTTAGAGCCTCGATCAGAGAAGTCGGACATGGAAGTGATGTCGGTTAGGCCAGAAGGGCCTCAGTGGCCAGCCCTGCCCGTCCCGGCCCCAGGAATCCCCTTCCTACCTCTGGGCCCGTCAGTCCCTCCTCACACTCAGTGGGCTCCTCCTCGGCTGCTGAGGTGCCTCTGGGTCTCCCTCCAGCGCTGGCCTTCTTTCGGCCTCTTCCCTCCTCAGGGCAGCTGAGGCCTGGAGTCCGAACACATCTGGGTGAAGTCTGCTGCCCGCCCTGTTCCCTCTCCTCTGCCCCCCCCCCAACTCCCCGCATGACGGCATCTCTTTGCCTAAGTCTCCAGGGCTCTAGGGTGCCGTTTGGAGCTGAGATGATGCAGGAGGACTGCGAGTCAGGGGCTCCTGGGGCTCCTGAGAGGAGTTGGGGGCCCACCGCCTGCTCCCCCTCCTGTGTGCTGAGATGCTGCAGAGCTTGTCATCTCATCCCTGCTGCCCAGCCTCTCAGCACCTCCTCGGTACCAACTCTACACCTCAGCACACAGGAGGGGGAGCAGGCGATGGGCCTGCCCACAGGCCAGATGGGCAGGGACAGCACGGGCTCAGGGCTCGCAGGGGCTTGGATCATACATTGGTCCCACCACTCCCTCTGTGGCTATGTGAGCTCAGCGCTCCTCAACCAGAAATCGGGGCTGACACTTCCGTGTTAGGTTCTGTGCTGGGCAATGAGCTGCCACACACTTGGTGGCTTAACCAATGAGCTGCCACACACTCGGTGGCTTAACCAATGAGCTGCCACACACTTGGTAGTAAGTGGGAGCTGCCACACACTTGGTAAGTGGGGCATGACACTTGGTTTAAACATCTAGTATTTACGGCCCCACGTGGGCCCCCAGCACCTCTGGCCACGTCTAACTGGAGCCACGCCCCAGACCTGGGCCCCTGCATGGTCCCCACCGCTACGGTCAGCCCAGTGTTCCGAGTTTGTCTCCAGCTGAGCCTGCTCTTCAGCCTCAGCCAGGTCCCACCACTCCCTCTGTGGCTATGTGAGCTACGGGGTTAGATATTTAAATACTAGGTGTCATGCTACGGTCAGCCCAGTGTTCCGAGTTTGTAACCAATGAGCTGCCACACACTTGGTAGTAAGTGGGAACTACCCCATGGTCCTGTGGGTCCCCAGCCTGGCAAGGTGAGGTCTGGTGGGCCGAGCCCTCTTTCATGCTCCCTGGCTGTGGCAGATTCAGGTCCTCATGGGGCTCCTCCGTGTCCAAGGCCAGCAAAGCACCTGGAACATTCCAGATGCTTCAGATCGCTCTGCCTTCCCCTCTGCTTTTAAGAGCTCATGTGACTGCATTGGGCCCTCCCAGACAGTCTGGGGTCACCTCCCTATTTGCAGGCGAGCTAGTTAGTAAGTAACCTTAGTTACACCCGCAAAGTCCCCCCTTGGCAGTGACATTGGTGGTGGACATCATGAGACGAGGGCAAAATTCTGTCTGCACAACCTCCAACCTCTCAGGATGGTCGTATGGAGTAAGATACCTCTCCTGGTTCCTGTGGTCCCCGCCCCCAGAACCACGGGGTTTGATATTTACATACTAGGACTCCCTGCTGGGGCACCCACAGAATGGGAGGGGAGAGCCTTCCTCCTGGCACCCCTCTCAGCAGCTAGCACTGTCTCCATTTTCCAGATGTTTAAACCAAGGCTCCCAGGTGTCATGTGATATGTAAGTGGCAGAGCGGGATGTGAACCTGTCTCTGGCTCAG